AACACTAATAATCCATCCACAATTTTGGGTTACACTAACCCCAGCCGAATCCTGATATCCTATCTTTCTCTTAAACCATATATGTTAGCTCCCATAGGGCATAACTGAGATCGGTACGGCCAATTGTACATACATCTGTTACTGTTGAAGGTAACCCAAAATACTTATATTTTTCTGCCTGAATTGTAATACTGATAATCTTCATTAACCGGGTACCTCGTACCCTTCTTTATCTTGCTTCTTTTACTTATTGAAACTTGTATCTACCTTCAAATTCTCTTTTTCTTTTTACCATATGGGTGGATAGATATTCATATCTTAGGGCGCCTTATCAAGAAGCTTACATATTTTAGTACACACATGGTCTGCTAAAGACCTCACATTTACTCATCATAAGCATGATGCAAAATCGAGTTCCTCTGACTCAACTCTTCCACAGCTATATCTCTTACCAACCGTCTTTCTAGATGTAGGCATCATTGTATTACGAATAAAATAGAGTTTAGGAAATTGAGTTCTTCCAATTGAGCTCTACCACACGATCTAGAGTAAGAAGAAAGAGTAACAGTCCTAAATGCCGTGTAGCCTCTTGCTTATAAGTGTGGTGCACAATACACCCATAAACAAGACTCTACTAGACACAGCTTGTAGACTCCCTATGACAGAACTGCTCTGATACCACTTTTGTCACGACCCAAACCGATGGACCGCGACGGGCACCCGGTACCTTACTCAACCGAGTACCAACGTAACGTATCTTTTCATATCATACTATTATAGGTAAATGAGACGTTTCACTTGCTGCCATGTGGGAGGCCTTTTAGGCTCATCCATATCCATAATTTCCAATTACATTGTTGATCTCCCACCAAAAATCTATAATTAACCAATTATCCACATAATTATGAATTATCTCAAATTACTTAAAATACTACTCACTTTTAATATACTTGATATACCTTACTATCATGTTCATGTGGTACCTTGTATGGCACTAGTCCATAAATACAGGGTATTATAGCTTGGACCGTATTTTATCATAAAATGCCAAACTTCGATGAAACTCATTTCTTCGATTCGCTTACCCTCTCACCTTCACGAATTTACTTTTCACTTGTTTGAAATAGCATAATACTTATAATCTCAAAATAATCTCATTCTCGAGCTTACGTCGATTAACTTACGACGAAACTCTAACGGTTGAAAATGCGGGATGTAACATCCCATTTTCGAACTTTCATCAATTTACTTATGGCGTAGTTTCACGTACGAAAATATGGGGTGTAACAATAATGATACTACGAGACAGAAGATTTGGTAGCCATGATAGCTCTGGACTGCGGCTTGATTTGAAAGATTTGAAGGATTGGAGTTCCACTGATCGTTTTTGAGTTTGAGTTCGGATCCTTGGCCAGCTTATGAGTTTGTTGTCTCTTATAGTATTGTAGCTTGGTTTGCTGCTTAGAAGAAGTTCCACATCGCGATGTATGTTCCTGCAAAAATAAAATACACACATACCCATATATCGTAATGCAGATATGTTAAGATGTGATGTAAATGATGCAGGAATGATGGTGCCTGGATGCCGGCTAACCGCTATTTGAGATTGGGACGACGAGATACTTGAATTTGACTCAATTGTTAGCCGAGCTATGTACTGTTCCGTAGCTGTCGGAGCATTAAGTCTCCTCACATTAGGAGTATCCTCATGCGATGGAAGTAGTTGACTTGTAATGTAGAATGTATCTTCATGTGATGGGAGTAGTTGCATTGAAATGTAAAATGTATCTCCGTGTGATGGGAGTAGTTGCATTGAAATGTAAAGTATCTCTGCACGATGGGAGTTTCTGACTTGAAAATGTAATCATGCCTGTAAGCTGCGTGAGCAAAACGTCAAAACATTCAAGATAACATAAAGAAATAAGGAGCATGCCCAAGAGATATAACCGCTACAGCTGCTAGAAGAAGTAGTTAAAGACATAAACTACAATTAAAAAATAAAAGTAGTGGGTCTTCTTCAATTTTCATCACAACATTCCCAAAAAGGTAAAATATTACAGCTACAACAGCTAGGAATTACAAAAGTTGACCTAAAAAGTGTTTTTCGTCTATTTATAGTGTCCAGAATTTCGCTGGCAGAAATGCCCTTCGAGAGGTTCTGCGGCCGTACAGTTCCATGTGCGGACCCCACTTTTCTTCTGCTCTTGCATTAAGAGGAAATCTGCGGCCGCATAATTGTCTCTGCGGCTGCACTTCAACTTCTGCGACCGCACAATTTGGTTGCGGACCACAATTTCAAGAGGCTTCACACTTGGCCTTCTGCACCTTCTCTAAACTTATCAAACTTTGTCAGTACGACCAACTTTTGCGGTCGCACAATTTGGTGTGCGGACCACGCTTCTGCTAAAATCCTGTGAGGCTTCAAGGGATCTTCTGCGGACCGCATAATTATCTGTGGTCGCAGAATTACTTCTGCGGACCGCACTTCTGCTTGCATTTCTCCTTTTTGCCTTGTTGAGATGGAATACTCATTTTTGAGTTAGATTTCTTCATTAAGCTCCAATCCTCCAACATGCATGTAATTCAAACAATTTTATTAGATTTGAAAATAAAAATCACTACTTTCGGACTAAAACTAAAACAAGAAGGTGCTAATAAATGGTTAAAATCCACATTTATCATGCACGCAATTAATAATAAATGAAGTTGTTGGAGATCTCGAAACACTTAAATTAAGGTTAGTATTCAAAATGACCTATCGGATCGTCACAATCTCTCTATTTATTTTAGGACGTTCAGGAATTTAAATTATTCAGTTTAAACTCTTAATTTTACTTTGATCTAATGTTTCTTTGTTAAACTAACTTTCATCCACCACTTAAACATTTATTTTAAGCATCACTGGTTTCACACGCGTAAACTCCGTTTAGCCTAGTATGTCATATGAAAAGGATGGAGTGAATAAAAGACCGAAAACGACTGTACCCTTAAGACAAATTCTGTTACAAGTTATTGTATTATAACCAACTTTGTAATCACTTCAAAACCTCAAAAGGGGCTTACTTAGAGAGTATAAGACAAACTGTTATCGGTTGATTTGACAGTGGAGTTGATCATGACAATATATAGCTAAAAAGGACAAGAAAATAATTGAAAGCATAAAAGAGAAATAAATGATGTACTCCCTCCGTTTCAATTTATGAGAACCTATTTCTTTTTTAATTCATACAAAAAAGAATGACATATTTTTCTATTTGAAAACAATTTACCTTTATCAATGATTTATAGCCACATAAAATATATGTGCTTTATTTTACACCACAAGTTCAAAAGTCTTCTCTCTTTTTTTAAATTTCATATTCAGTCAAATGAGTTCAACGTAAATTGAAACGGAAATATAACGGAGGGTATCTTTCCCGGGAAATGATGCAAGGAGCAGTTACTTTAATTTGTGACATGAGTAGAAAAGTTTCTATTTTCGTGCATTTAGTAATACCGTGGGAAGGCTGTGAACAGTGATGCACATGTGGTCTAGAAGTCATTAATTTGCCTAACCTCTAAGAATTTGGACCATAGTGCAACTTTCAAGTATTACATACTTTTAAATTTGGGAAAATGGTCAAATATATTTCTTTACTTTGGTATATTATTCACATATATCCTTTGTTATACTATCGAGATATATCTATTTTTATTGTTAGCCAAACTTTTTAAAAATACCCTTCACCTACCGGAAAGCCACCAAATTAAAAAAAAATATTTTTTTAAAAACTCATTAATAACCCGTTAAACTTTTTTCATTTGCTGCACTTCTTCCTCACATATTAGTCATCTACTTCGTAGTTACTTGTTGAACTCAAGAAGTGAAAGATATAAAAATACTGACAACTATATATTCATTTATATATTGAGTCCCGATTCTTTTAATTTCCTTATTGTATGTTTATTATATTCAACGTTTTCCATTTTTTTCCTTCTAGCTTCTCTCTTTGTTTTTTCTACCATGTCAAACTGTACCGAGTATTCATCATGATTTTCTTTCTAACATGACTTAGAATCTTTATAGCATCTTATTAGGTTAACATTTCTGAAGTCTTAAGGCAGCAACCGAAGTATTTCTTCCTCCAACAGTGAGCCTTTGTTGATGAGTATTCACGCACCACAATTTTCTTATTATACTTTAAGCATTTGGGCAACAAGTAATTATCGCCAAATCACGCCTAAAGTTAGATTCCAAACTATGGGATGTGATACTCATAATTCTTAGTAACAACTGAACTTATAATGAACAAAAATTTAAAAATAATTAGAGGAGATTCAATTTAATATCAAGCTACAGTCTACGAAGTTCATCAAGAAAAAAAGAAAGCATACCAATAAGTTGGAAAGCAACTTAACAATCTAAGTACACTAACTTCATGTATTAACCAAACACAAGTATTATTAAAGTATATATCAGTTGTTACCAACACACAAACCAACTGTCAAGTGTGTATTACATTAGACAAAGAGATGCCATATTATAATCACACACAAAAAATAATCAAAAGTGATAACATGACATCCTAATGCCACCATGAACAACTAATAATCAAAAATATAGGTTCTTACTAATTCTACTTCACCATCATTCTCGGTCTCTCTCTAAATAAATAAAATGTATTAAGACGTCGCATAAATTTCGGTTTTGAATTTTTAAATGATGGGTTTAACGGGTATAGGTAATGAATTTTTTTAAATAATTATTTTATTAATTTGGTGCCTTTCCGTTAGGTGAAGGGTATTAGGTGAAGGGTACTTTTAAAAAGTTTGGCTAACTATAAGGGTAGATATGTCCCGATAGTACAACGGAGGTAGATGAACAATATACTAATTTGCCCCTTTTCCCTTTAAATATTTATCATCCTCGTGTATTTGTTTACTCATACCACGCTGTGTGCAATTCAAAAAATAAATAAATAAACTAAAATAAAATAAAGAATCTATGCATGCTCCCTTTTACCTATATATACATATAGAGTTATTCTCTCTTCTTCTCCCCCTTGCACTGCAATGGCATCAAGACAATCAGAACTATCTTCTTCATGTTCCACCCTTCTTAAATCCAGGTAAAAACATTCATTGCTTGTTCCAAATATTTACTCCAATCTAAATAATTTATCGTTACACATATATAACTACGTTTCAACATCTAACTTTTCCATTAATATATAAGAGATGTTTCTTCCTTTTTTTTTCTTTAGATAAATGTATGAGTGTAAGAAATATATCTATTGAGTTTTGTTTGTGAAAAATGTAGATGGTGGTCGAAAGAGACAGTGGCAATAGTGACAGGAGCAAACAAGGGCATAGGTTTTGCCTTAGTAAAAAGAATGGCAGAATTGGGATTAACAGTGGTTTTAACTGCAAGAGACAATACAAGAGGAATGGAGGCAGTTGAGTCTCTAAGGAAATTAGGCCTATCTATCTATTATCACCAGCTTGATGTGTCAGATACTTCCTCCATTAAAACATTTGCTTCATGGTTTGCCAAGAATTTCACTGGCTTAGATATATTGGTGAGTTTCAAAAACTTCTTTATTTCATCTGTATTCTAATTTTTTCTTTTTTCTTTTTATATTTCACATTAGTTTTAAGTAGTTAAATATCATTGCTGTCCTATTGTCTTTTTCTTTGGCATCTTTTGAAAACTGAAGTTAATATATAAGTCATTAGATTTTGAGTGCTTTCACTCAATTAATATATCAATGGCGAACGATTATGACAAATAAAGTATTACTATAACAAATTTAATTTATTTAAACCGTTTTCTATCAAAAGAATTTAGTCTATTGTGCGCGTCTTTACTATCGATGGTTAGTAATTGGTAGTTACCTGTTGTTTTTGGCAAATAAGGTTTCTTTCACGCAGAGTAACTTAAGAAAATTACAAAAATGTGACAGGTTTTGGAAGTAGTGTTTTATTTTTTACTGCTGTTTGGACCATAAACAGAACTTTAAGGTCAAAAGTTAATAGTGTTTCCCATAGGGTAAGCGAGGACAGTATTTATTAAAATTAAAATTCTATCCATGAGAAAAGCGGAATAATTCAAGACCATCCACTTTAAAAGATTTTATTTTGGGTTAAAAGGGATGTTATATCACTAAGTAGCATAACAAGAATCGTTCAAGGATGTCCCATTAGGATCAAGTCCATGGGAAGTAGAGATACTAGAACTTTGAGGGCTATGGCCAAATACTCAAGTTAGTTCATATTTACAATTTGATTCTACATATCTGAAAAGTTACTTCTTTTCCGGTTATGCACCAAAAAAGGTTATTAAAGAACCTACAACTCGGTCTAATAGAATAATGACAAACAAAAACAGAAGTTGAACCATATATAAACACAAGTTTTAAGTTTCGTGAGGTCACGGCATGTTTCTTGATTTTTGTAATAGACAAAAGTATTTAATGTTCTTCAGTATTCACTTTGATTTATCCAAAGTCAGTACCACACTAAGAAGAAATTATGGTGGTGTGTGTTTTATAAGTCGTGAATAAAACAATTGTTCCTTTCCTTCCATTTTATAAGGTTGGATAGCTTAATAAATCTCCACAAATATAAAATAAATATATAGCATTTCAAAATACCTAAGCATCTACTGGGCAGGTCTTAATATTTGCATATAAATTGCTATTAGAATACACTATACATCAATCATGGCAAACTCGGAATGTTAAAATTGAAATTTTTTAAATATACAAATATGTCAATTTTTTTTATTGAACTTATAAAAAGGAGTGGCATATAAAATGAAATGAGAGAATAAGAACTAATATGTAGTTAGTATAAATAAGGTGAAATTAAATTGTTTATTTTTTAGGAAATCAAAAACGAAAGTAAAAAAGTTATACTAATTCTAAGAAACCAAATTCATGACTGATATTCCAAAAACAAATTTAAAATCATATACAACTTAACTTGATGGTTATTCTATTTCAAAGAAGTTGTTTCAAAATCACACCCAAAAGAAAATCCAAAAGAAGCCTAAAACTGCATGATGAAAAGTAGACCAATCTTTGCCTTACAAGACAACCAGTTTATAAAAGAATGAGTGGCGATCGAAGGTTTATTATACGTTTGCCTTTTGGACTATTCACTTGTCAAAGCGGAACGGATAGATGATAATGCAAAGTTTGAGTGTTTGACCGTATGAGAAACTCTTCTGTGGTCAGAGTCAGAGTACTCAAACTCAATAACATATCACCATCAATTTTAAGGAAAAGAAACCGAGACAGGCTGTGGCCTGTGAGTTACCCATCAATTTTATCCAAATAAATTTTTGGTGGCATATATTTATAAGGTGAAATACCTATATATCTGTTTTGTTACACATGAACTTTGGGATTCATAAGTTTAATGAACTCGATAAATGTCATTAGTTATCGTTTATATAAATTCATAATGTTAGCAAAATTTTGGCCAAATATTCAAGATTGAAAAGGGAGTAAATAATGATAACTGCTGCTATTTGTTGACTAGAATATATAATAAATATTTGCAGATATTTGTGAAGAAATGTTCTTTTCTTTCATAATTTATTAGTCATATGGGGATGCGAATGAATTAACCCAGCCCACTAGGCACATGGTTAGATTTGTAAGACGTGAATCCGCACATGGTGGACATTTTTATTAATGTGAGTGCGGGGCGCATTGCAGATGATAGATATATTTGGTTTTCCCTTTTTCTTTTGTTTACTTTCTCTTCTTCTTTTTTTTCCTTTTCATACATGCCTTCAAGTAATGTCCCATCTCATAGGGTGAATGATGTAGAATCTTGGCATCAGTTACTAAATCCTTGCTTTTGAAAGTGAAATGTCACATGCACCAATATAACCTAGAGATTAAGCTAATGTTAGTTAAATAACTAATATTTCATTTTACTACTTCGAAAATGATCGATGAACATCCAATAATTCAGGAAAGGAGAAGAATAAACAATCTCACTTAGATAAATATAATGTATCTTGTTGAAGTTTCCAGTTGATATATATTGACTTTTGATATAGTGTTAAATACTATTTATTTCAGGTAAATAATGCAGCTGTATCATTTAACGATATTCACGAGAACTCCGTGGAACATGCAGAGACGGTAATATCTACAAATTTTTATGGGCCCAAACGACTCATGGAAGAACTCTGGCCCATGTTTCGTTGTTCATCCACTGTCGCTCGAATTCTTAATGTTAGCTCCAGACTTGGGCTTCTTAGTGTAAGTAATTTTATCAATACAACCTCTCTCTTTTTCCTAATTCGCCAATAAATAAATAAATAAAATCTGTGTTATGTGTGTATCTATACTAGATGAGGCACGGGCCCAACATTATGAATTCTTTAAAATTTACTTGGCTGGAAATCAACTACCATTTCCTGATGAGGTAGTTCGTACAAAAGTTATAAAGAAGCTAGAACTATTGAAAATACCATCTGGATAATTGCATACACTAAATTTTGCACTCTTGGGGTCTCGTCTAACATAATTGAGATCTCATATATGTTCGTTTCTCTCTCTTGATCAGGATAAGAAAATATTAAATCTCTCTCTGATCTACTTCCCAAGGACAGGGTGAGCATCTAGTTCATCCTTAATGCTTCTTCTGCTAGAACTTACCTTCTCCATTCTCTGCCATTAGCACACGCAAATTTATAATTTAAACTGCAACTACTATTTGAATAGTACATTCAACTGACGTATTATGACAATTTTAAATGAGATAGATTAACTGCACGCTTTCGGTGAAGAATGAAACCAAAAGAAGAGTCAGAAATTTTTTGGAATACCACTGAAAATTAATCAATTCTTCCTAAGTCAACTATGATGAAGTAGAAATCTAAAGGAATTTAGGCGAACTAAGTCCAAAGAAGATATAAAGTTTGTATTATTTTAGCTTGAAAGTGCATGTTTGGTATAGGTTGACAGAAAAGAACATAAAGACAGCGACAAGGAGACATAACGATAAATGGATAAAGAGTCTATATATTCTAGCACTTATAAAGACACTGTATGGAGAGCTCTAGATAGTTGAGTCACTTCCCTTCGGTCTGAGTTAATAGAATTAGTATCAACGACTTGTTACAACCCTGAGAAATTATAGTTATATCTAGAGCATAATTTCCTTGAGAAATGACTAATAGCAATATAGTTAAATCTAGAGCAGAGCTTTCAACATCTAATTCTCAACAATTCCTTTTCCTTTGTCAGGGTAGTCACATTGCTTGAAGTAGATTTAGGTTGGTTTGTCTCCGACAAAGGTATCATCAGTAGGTATAACATCAGATTTATCCTCAACTTGATCGATATATTTCCTCTTCTTTTCCTCCTTCATGCCCAAACCTCTAAATCAAAGTTTTTAGCAGATTCACCGTCGATTTGTCTCCTTTGGTAGTATCATCAGTAGGTATAATCCTCAAGCTTATGTGTTTCCCCTTTTCTTTTTTTGATGTGTTTCCTTTTTCTTTCGAACAACTCATTGTCTTCTTTATCCTCCTCCTAGTAATATTTTAAATCAAAGCTTCTTAGGGGTATATATATTATTCAATAAGGGCTCTCTTTACCCTTAAAATTTGATAACAATTAAACTTATAATGTGGTTCTAAGGACATGTGATTTCACTTAATACCAATTGATAAATATGAAGATTAATAACAGAAATGAACTATAAAGTAAAGCAAACCAGTGTTAGAATGGAACTCAGCCCTCGAGTTTGGATACCCTCGAACTGGTTGATGCAAGAACAATTAAAATATAACAAGCTGATGACCAATAGTATAAACGAAAAAGAGAATTATATTGCTTTGATATCTGTGAACAATGTGTGTTATAAATGATTAGAATCCCTCTTTAAATAGTAGAGGAATTCCACTTATGGTATAATTCTAATTACAGAAGGAAATCTCATGATTAACTAATTAACCGTTTCTGATTTGATCCGTTCCGAGATTTACGCCATGATCCTCGACCAGTCACGGATATCTTGCCTTTATGTTATTGTGCTATCTTCGATCTTGCTCGATGTCTGTCTCATTTGGCTTCGATCGCTACTAGCCTCGATCTCGACAGATACCTCGATTCTGAACTCGGTACCTTATCCTCGTGATTTAGTCGGTTCTGTTACGAGGCCGTCCTTCGATGCAACCTCCCAGTCTCGGTCAAATAGTAAAATCGGATGGGCCCGATTTTAACCATATACAGATAGTCCCCTCGTTTTTTGGAGTGAAGTGACAAGAAACGAATTGAGCCTTTGATTTTCTACCTCGACCTGTCATGACGTCATCCTCGTGACGTAAGCGACGGGAGTGACCGAAACGTCCCTTCGGTACAGTTACCCAAGTCATTAATGAGTGTCAGTTGGTGTTCGGCCACTAGTGCCTTTGAACTGTCGTCGTGAATCCAATAAATAGACCCCTTTCTCATTGATTCAAACTTTACTTTCACTTCCTTCTAATCTCCAAAACGTTTTACATCTCTTAAGTTCATCCCTTCTACAAATCTTCAGGTCTTGCTGTTAATCCTTTCTCAAATGTCAAGTCCTATTATCTTCCTCTTCTTCAAACTTACACAAAAATGGCAAAAACATCGAAAACGGTACCACAAAAAGAAGCTCCTTCATCTTCTCAAACGGCCGGCAGGAAAATGCCAGTGGAACCTCGTCTTAAGGAATGCATTCCTGGGGGTGCGCGCTAAACTCCGATTTCAAGACCGATAAAGCCTCGTCGATTCCTGGTCGATGCGAGCCAACGTCGATGTATATATGCTCGATAACTGAGAAATACCTTAAGCAGGTAAAGAAAGACTGCAACTGGGAGGGCAAAAAGGTGGTGATCCCGACCCCCGAAGAAGACATCACCACCCATGTGGAAGGGTTTCTAAGTGTTTACACTTACCCTTTCACGCTAGGCCACCTTGACCCCGTCATCGTTGATTTTTGCCGTCAATATCAAATAACCCTAGGCCAAATCCATCCTTCCTTTTGGCGAATTATTATTCTGCACCGATTCTTCGTGAGCAAAGTTGAGGGGCTCCCTTTCACCCTCGATCACCTTGTTAGATTGTATAGCCCCCGCCTCTATCGCGGCGGGTTAATAAAATCCAATGTTGGGCTACCAAAGTGTTGTTCTCGAGCATAGACGAGGACAAGGATCGAGGGTGGATGGGTCGGTTCAATCGAGTGAGGACGTCCAACATAATCCCAACCGAGAAGATGCCATTTCCTGAGAAATGGAACCTGAATCGTAAGTACCGTCTCACTGTTAGCTTCCATGTATTATTTGTTCCTTTGTCTTTTCTTATTGATGTCTTTTTCCATGATGTAGCGGTCGCTTCGATGCCCTGTGCGATTCTTGGTCTCGAGAGCTGGGTTCGGAACCTGGCCTCGACCTCTACATACGTCGAGCGCTCATGGCGCGATTTAGTAAAGGGCCGATGGGAGGCCAAAAATCATGATAAGCCCACTTTTTGTCTATTTGATGATTTGATTAAAATGCCCTTCTTCTACTTATTCAATTTCCTCGTGTACAGGCCTGGGCAAGGATGCGATCATGAGGCCCCCGTCTGGTGAGGAGGAGACTTCGACCCCGGTTCCGAAGCTGGCGAAGGATAAGAAAAGGAAAAGGACCTCAACCTCCGAGGATCCAAAGGCTAAGAAGAATCCGGTTCGTAAGTCGAAGAAAGACACCGTTGCCCTGCCTGCGGATGTGATTCAACGGCTAAGGGAGGAAGAAGAAGAAGAAGATGAAGATGATGGCTTGGAACTGGTGGCCCGAGTGAAGAAAACCATCGAGGCCCCAAAGGCCGCTGAGTCGGTGGTGGTTGAGGAGATTCCGCCTCGAGTCAAGGGGATCTTGGAAAAGGACTCGGGCAAACTCTCCGAGTCATCGATATCATACTTAGTTTATTTCTTCTCTTCCTGTCTAATTTCCTTTCTTTTTTTCGTATATGCTTTGGCACTCCATCAGGAGGCATTTTCAAAGTCCCGAGCAGAGCTGAGCCGATGTAAGGCCGACCTCCAAGGGTTCACAGAGGAGAGAAATGCCCTTAAACTTCTCAGTGGGCAAAAAGAATAGGAGATCAAGGACCTCCGAGCCGAGTTGGCCAAGGCTCACAAAGATCAGACCGACCTGATCGAGCAGGACATGAAAATCTTAAAAGCTCATGGGCTCGATTCGGGGACGGTGGCTAACATTTCAATCTCACAGCTGCAGCAGAAGGTCGAGAGGATCGAGCAGTTCCGCGAGGAGGTCAACATGATGAAGGTGGAGACCTTGGGGTGGAAAGAAAGTATGGACCGCTTTGCTGCTGAAAAAGAGGCTGCTCGAGCCCAATTGTCATCGGTCGAAAGTCAGCTTTGAGGTATGAAGGAGAAGAGCTCAGCTCAGGCAAAGAAAATAGAGGAGCTCGAGGCTCGGTTGGCTTTCGAACTTGCAAAGGCCAAATCTGAAGCCGAAAAGGCAAAGGCCGAGGCAGATACGATCGTGGTCGTCTACCGGGATGATGCTGAAGCCGCTCATGTCCAAGCGAGAGAGGCAGCCGAGATCACTCAAACTCGAGCACATTGGATTGCTGAACTCGCCAAATGCCAATCTCGGAGGGAAACCCTCGAGGAGATCCATGCTCGAGGTTTCGATCTTACCGACGAGATAATAAAGGCTAAAGAGCATGAAGCTGATGCTAGAGTGCTGGCCTCTTCCGATGATGATGATGATGATGGCAGCAAGAGCAAGTCCGAGAATGGGGAGGAACTCGATAGTGGAGAAGCTGCCCCTGAGGAAAATTAGGAATCTTAGGTTTTTTCTTTTTTGATTTTTTGTGTGGGAACCTGATCGATCCTTGTAAATATTTTCGTATATATAAAAGATCATTTTTCTCTTTGACTTATCTTTATTCTATTTCCTGCCTCGTGAAAATTTTATTTCATTCATGCCTTCATGCCTTTTGGAGATTTTGCTCACAAGTTTGGGACTTTAGGCAACTAGACCGAAGTTGGACCAGTGTAGTCTTTAAAATCGAGTGAGTACTTGTTCGAACTCGAAGTAGAGTGACCCTTAGGTTTTAGTTGAGTAAGGACGATTTCTCGAACTCAAAAAATAAAATGGCCCTTAGGCTCATGAATTAGGCCAATATGGCCTCAAAAGAATGGCTTTTCCCCTTTTTCAGCTTGAAAAATTAATCATAAATATTTGTCATGCCTTAGCAAGAGATAAATTTATACCCATTAGGTTTTTCGAGGATTGATGTTATCGAAATCCTTTGCTTTGTTATGCCTTAGCATAAAATTGTCCGGGAGTTC